TTTTTTTTTTTTTTTTGTATTGATACTTAGACACTATTTTTATTAGACTGGATATCTAGATGCTCATGACTTGGTGACACCCCGATGTCGGACTATTTTTCCGCATTTATGTTTTGGGTTTTACCTCGTTTTTATGAAAAACTCCGATTATTTTAAATGCCTTAATTCATTTTTATTAAATGTTGAAAGTGTTTTGGAAATGTCGGCTTGCCTAGTATCACGATAGGCACCATCACGACGGGTTAGGTTTTGGGTTGTGACACAAATCGAGGAAGGCTTAAGGAAGTTATTGGAGGCTTCGAAACACAGAATTAAGGTTTAAAACTCTAGATGACCTATCGGGTCATCACATGTATAACTTACGATTATATCATTAATACATGCAGGTAGTTAATCTCCAATATGGGCATGGTAGTGATCCACCATAACTTTCGTCAAGGCAATGAAGTGGCTCACCTTTTGGCTAAGCATGTAACTATGCTTTCTATTTTCAATAAACTATGTCGTTTAGCTATTCCTCCACCCTATGTCATGGCCAAGATGCTGGCGGACAAAGGGGGTGATGTTTATGTTAAAACTATTTCTATTAATGGTTATAGACATCTAGCAAAATTTGGTAATCAACATGCTATGCATGGATTATCGTCTCTATGTAATGATCCGCAGGATCATAACTGTTGTAGTGAGTAACTTCTATTAAATAAATTTCCAGTTCATCAATTTAAAAAAAAAAATATTTGCACTTGAAATTTGCAAAATAAAAAAAAAGAAAATTTTCATAAAACACTATAGTTTAGAGCTTAATAATTATAGTTTGCCTAATTACTATTCGAGCTGCTGCTCAATTATTACTAGCTAAAAATATCAACTGTATTTGTTCGCGCAGTTGTATTCATTTGCGCAATGAATACAACATGTATCAACTGTAACCAAGACTAAATACAAAGGTGTATACAAAGCATACAAGTTGTATCGTCTCTATACAACTAAGGTGAAATATAGAAAAATAAAATATTTTTGTTGAGAGTCGAACTCAAGACCTCCACTAATAAGCGGACCCTCTAACCAACTGAGCTACAAGAGCTTGTTTCTCTCTTGTATCAGTTTAAAATAATTAATCTCTTGTTTCATGCATTTGCTATAAAAATTAAATATAGCTACGAATAGTAAATTTGCTGAAAGTATAGCTACACACGATAAATATAATGTAAATATTTGATGTGTCATGCAGTATTTTAAAAGGCGTGGGTGTAAGGCGAGGCATTTTATATATGCCTCAACGAGGCGTAAGCCCCATGAGTATTTAATTTTTAATATTTTATAAAATAATATAATTATAGTACATATTTATAAACATGTAAAATTGCATAAAAATTGAAGAAAACTATAAATATGTGAAATATATATATATATA